CCAGGAAGTATGTAACTCCACATGTTGACCTTAGTAAGACCAATACGCACGATTTCGTTGTTCCATGCTGAAAACAGATAAATCAATCTCTCCGTTCCATAGAAATCCAGAGAACACAAAAATGCGTGACCGTTCAGGAGTGGTGTTTAGTCGTTCATAGATGGGAGTTACACTGTTTAAAAGTCAGAGCGAAAGTCGTATTGATCTAATAAGTCGAGATTCTTACTTGTGACCAAGTCTGTGTTCAATAAAATAATATCTGAACTACTTTTTTTGCTGTTTTTTTCGGATGAGCCAAGCCTTTTTTGATTTCGATTAAGATAAAAATTTTGATAGTAAAAGAAAACCTTTTCAAAACTAGCTCCCTAAGTGCGTTGGTATTCACTGCTCAGAAAGAGCATTGCCTTGCCATTTTTTTGTACTCAAGTGAATCATTTTGCACCTTCTTCTAAGTGCTGAAACATTAGACAAAAATATTATGTGTTCTGAACTTTGCCATAGGACTCAACCCTAAATTCTGGAGATCTGTTTACGAAGAAAAAAAATTGGCCATAAATATCCTTTACTGACGTAGGAGTAGAAAGCTGAGGTGTGGTGTTCATTGAACAACATCTCATTTTACCTGCCCCTCTCGCCCCCCCCCCCCTTCCCCCCAAAGTCCAAGCCATGGAGCACGCGGCGATCTGAAGGGACCTGCAGGCACAGACGGCCGAACGATTTAAAGGGCCATGGAGGAAAGGCCTTCGAGGCAAGGAGACTGTTTGCGAATCTACAAGTGTCAGCTACAACTGCCGTACAATCTCTTCAACGGCAGACCCAACCATCTCGATGGAGACCAGCAAAAAGCTACGTCATCGCACTTCGAGAGGAGAAATGCACGGAAACAGCCATCAGGATGACCAGCGATGACCACCTAGTTGCTCCGAGCTAAAGTGGATGGAAGAATCGTCGGAGGCGTTGGATTCCTCGTTCATCGGATCAGCCCCTGGCTGACCCAACCGAAATACTCGGTATATTTTATTTCACATTAGTCACACACTTTCTTCAACACTTTTATCCATGAAGACGTTAGCAAAACTTCCCTCAGTTGAGTGCTATTTCGCACTTAAAGACTGTGTGTACGATGGAAAGCGAGGTGGTTTGGGGGAGAGGGG